GCAAAAAAATTCTTTAAATTGGTAATTTTGTGTGTGTGTTTGTTTGTTTGTTTTTGAGACAGTCTTACTCTGTTGCCCAGGCTAGAGTGCTATGGCAACAACCTAGCACACAGCAACCTCAAACTCCTGGGTTCAAGTGATCCTCTTGCCTTAGCCTCCTGAGTAGCTGGAACTAAAGATGCCTGCCACAACAACCCCCTAATTTTCCTATTTTTAGTAGAAATGAGGGAGGTCTCACTTTTGCTCAGTCTCCAACTCCTGAGCTGAAGGGATCCCCTTAACTTGGTCTCCAGAATGCCAGGATTATAGGCGCAAGCTACCATGTCCTACTTGTAATTTCGGTTTTTAAAGAGTAGCTTTGGTTCTGATCATTCCATAAAGACAGAATTTTATTATACATGGAAAACATTCCTAGATACATAATTCGATTCACTCTGTAGTCTTACCTTTTTTTTTGAGACAGTCTCAGGCTGTCACCCTGGGTAGAATGTTGTGACATCACAGCTCACAGCAACCTCAAACTCTTGGGCTCAAGCATTCTCTTGCTTCAGCCTACCACATAGCTAGGACTACAGGGGCCCACCACAATGCCCAGCTATTTTTTTATTGCAGTTGTCATTGTTGTTTTAGCTGGCCCAGGCTGGGTTTGAACCTGCCAGCCTTAGTGTATGTGGACAGCAACCTACCCAATAAGCCACAGACGCTGCCCATCTTACATTTTTTTTAAAAAGCTTAGAAAGAAGAGCCAAGAGAAAGAAAAATTCATTAATAAAAAAGTCAAGATGGGAAGCTGGTCTGGGAGGCCAAGATGGGAGGATCCCTTGAGCTCAAGAGTTCAAGAGCAACTTAACCTGAGCAAGACGAAACCAGGTCGTACTGAAAACAGAAAAATTGGCTGGGCATGGTGGCAGGCACCTGTAGTCCCAGCTACTTGAGAGGCTAAGGAAAAATGATTGCTTGAACTCAGGAGTCTGAAGTTGCCATGAGCGAGGCTGACACCATGGCACTCTAGAGAGAGCAAGAGACTGAGACTCTAGTGTGCCCACCCCCCAAAAAAATCTCTCTCCAATTTGTCTCTTTTTTTAGTTAATTTGGGGAGATTGCAATCTTCCACATTATTATAAATTTAGAATCAAACAATAATTAAAAGCTGTTTGGCTCAAAATGGCACTAGTATGTTCGCTCCCATTTTCTTTCATATACTGTAGTTACTTAACAATTGTACTACTAGACGTAGAGAGAAACCTAAGATTTCATTTCAGTTCTTCTAAAATAAAGATAGGAGGGGCTGGGCACCTGTAATTCTAGCACTCTGGGAGGCTGAGGCAGGTGGATTGCTTAAGCTCAGGAGTTTGAGACTAGCTGGAGCCAGATGGAGACCCTGTTTCTAAAAAAACATAGCCAGGCGTTGTGGAGGGCACCTGTAGTCCCAGCTACTTGGGAGGCTGGGGCAAGAGAATCACTTGAGTCTAAGAGTCTGAGGTTGCTGTGAGCTATGATGTCATTGCACTCAACCCCAGAGTGACTGAGTGAGACTCTGTTGCCCCCCTCCACTCCAAAAAAACCCCCCAAAAAAGAATAAAATATAAATAAAATATGAATTTCTATTATTTAAACCCCAAACCACAGTCACAGTAATAATTTTTAAAATAAAATACTTCTTCCTATAACACCCATGAAATCTTGATTTCTAGAGCCTTACTTTTTTAAGCTTCAGAGTTACTGAACAACCAACCTAGGCTGTCTCTTATGATAACATTTTTCCTCAAAAAGACTTTTCTATCAAGTTGATAGTCATAACTCTATACTTACCAATGTCTAAAATTCTCTTTTGTAGAGCTCCAATGAAAAGAAATGGTTCATCTTTACAAGACTGAATGAGTGTGCCAACCAATTCAGAGTTTGTGGTTAAAATGCAGGCGTTTTCTTCACTGAGGTTGAGCCCTGCCATGGAAGTCACATCATTGATGTCATCTTCATCTCTAATAGAAAAAAAAAAGATAGGTTTTGGTGGTGGTGGTGGTGTTGTGTGTGAAAGAATGACTGGTTTCAGAGAGCAAAATGATCAGAGATCTCTCTTTATTAACTAATGGTATTATTTTGCTTAATTTATCCAACCAAGAAGAAAGTTGAATAATGGCTATCTTTCCCTATATACCTTTAAAACTAATTGGTATCCCTAACCACTAGAGTATACCTAACATCAGAAATATGAATCAGAAGCAACTTTGCTAGGGCACATCTTTCCCTCTCTCAATTTGGTACATGAGATATACCTAGAGGCATTTGGAGTTGCTCTAATTCATTCAGAAATCCTCTACAATGAAAGACAAAGAAAAACAGACATCTCTGTTTTTATCTAAGCCTCTCATATTTCTCAGCGCACTCCAACATTCCACTGAGGGCCAACAGAAAGTCCCTGGTCCTAAAGGTCAGCATCCACATAAAGTCCCTTGAGAAGAAGCCTTCTTATTCAACTAGCCGTTCTGAAACCAAATAGTTAAAACTAGTTTTCTTTTTCTTTTTTTTGGTTGTTTTGTTTTTTTGCTTCATATTCTTGATGTGCTCCATCTATACCAATTGAGTTCACTAAATTGTAATTTGCTATAAAGAGATCATATATAAAATGTAAAATTACATATACATATGTATGCACTTATACATACACAATACAGTATAAAGAATGTATGTATAAAATACAAAATATGATTAGGATCCTTGTTTGCACCAGAGAAATTAAACAGTTGTCTTTAACTAACAGAACTAGTACATGCACAGAACTAAGAGGAATACATATATTTAAGGGTACAGAAGAGAGAGAAAAGAAATACTAAAATTCCCTCACGGCATCCTTATCAGCTTATGTAATAACAAGCACTTTACTGGGTATAATTCATACAATACAAAACATAATTTACACAAACAGGATTATATAAAAAAAGGTAGTTCTCTCTACTGCATGGGCCAAATGATACATCATGTCGTTTCATATCAATAGATTTAAATTATAAACTTCACTGTGGTAAGGCATTTGTACACAGAAAAGGAAATTAAGTTATAACTGTTGAACACTCAAAAACCGCAGGCCTCTGGTGCTCAACTTTTAAAAACAATATAGTAGGGGCCTTGTGCAATAGGTCACGCCTGCAATCCTAGCACTCTGGGAGGCCAAGGTGCGGGGAGAAACTAAGCTCAGGAGTTCCAGGCCATCCTGAGTAAGGGCCAAACCCTGTCCCTACCAAAAATTGGAAAAAAAAAAAAAAAACAAACAAACAACTAGCCAGGCATTGTGGTGGGTACCAGTAGTCCCAGCTATTCACGAAGCTGAAGCAAGAGGATCATTTGAGTCCAAGAGTTTAAGGATGTTGTGAGCTATGATACCACCACCCTCTACTCATAGCAACACAATGAGACTCTGCCTTTAAAAAATATATAGTTCAGAGGGAAAGAGTCCATATTCAATCATACAGCATAAGAAATAGCTAGACACGCCTACTGGAAGTGACGAGAAAGCACAATAATCTTATCATCTGAACAAAGTAACAAAAGCGCAACATTAAAGCTTTTATGTCATGTTGCCTTTTCATAACATACGCAGTGAAGAAGTGAAGTTCCTGCCCCTCCCAAAGCCGAAACAAACCAACGTGTTTCAAGGCCGAGAAAGCAGAGCTGAAAGGCATCTGCAGTCACACACAAAAAAGAAGATCCGTACATCAATTGCCTCCTGGCGCCTGAAAGACACTGCGGCGCCGAAGGCACCCCAAATATTCTCATTAGAGTACCCCAGGAGAAACAAGCTTGACTACTATGCCGTCGTCAAATTCCCCTAACAACTGAGTTGACTAGGAAGAAAATAGATGCCAACAATACACGTAAGTTCACTGCGGATATCAAAGCCAACAAGCATCAGATCAACCCACCGTGAAGACGCACCAAGTATGATACTGATGTGGACAAGGTCAATACCATCCTCACTCCTAAAGGAAAGAAGGCAGATGTCTGACTGGCTAGCAGCTAAACTGGGATCATGTAAACCCAGTCCAGTTGGCTAATCCTAAATGCGTAACTATTCACTGTTATATATATTTTTTAAAAAGTATGTCTGTGCAACAGGGAAAAGAAAAAAGAAAGTAATTTCTCAAACCCCCAAATGAAACATGCAGTATAAAGAAAAATGTCACATAAATATTGTGAGAGATGGGATGCTGAGAATGGCTCTGAGAATCACTTTGCTACTTGTGTAAACAAATTAGTACATCCAGGTTTAAATATTAAACATCTAAAGTGTAAGAGAGTAGGAATTTTAAGCCAAAACACAGACCAAAATCGAAGTTAAAAAAAAAAAAAAAACATTTAAAGGGCCTGAATAAAAAATATTTTGAAAAGACCAAGTAAACATTAGTGAAAAGTTAGTTCACTGTTAACCAGTAACTAACCAGTTACTTTTAACATCTTTGGGACTTAGTCTCCTCCTACAAAAAAAAATAAAATAAAATGAGTAACGCAGCTGCTAAGGTCCCTCTCAGCCACTTAATGGAATAAAGGAATGAGGCGACTTTCTTTGGACTGACACAAAACAAAGAGACTACATCTTTCATACATACAAGCTTATGTGGGCATAATGTATCCTTGCAAAGACACATGAGAAATTCTCCTCTGGAGAGAGAAATAGGAAAGCAGGGATAGGAAGAAGACAGACTTTGTTACCTTATGCCTCCTTCTAACTTTTGAATGTTGTACTATACGTGGATTACCCAATCAACATGATTAGTAACATCAAAAATCACATAAACATTTAACGAAACTAAAAATAAGATAGGGAAAAATAAAGTTTATACATATAACTTTGTCCTTCTTTTAAAATAAAACGAATTATTAAAGGTAACTCCACATGGCCTTTACACACATGCACATACATACAACATTGAGTGCCTAGAATTTCAGATGAATGCCAGGTGCACAGGCCCCTGAAAATTGCATCTTGCTTCTCTAGCAGGGTTCCTTTACAGCCCCTATTGACACCTCACACATAGGCTGCAGAAACCAGTACCAGGCTTACTTATTCTCAGTACCTAGCATGGCACTCGAACTAAACAGAATTCAATGAGGAAAATAGTTCCATGTCTTTTAGAATCTTGCAGCCTTTCTCTGTAAATAAGCAGAGAACTAAATGTCCAATAAGATTTTCTTGCCTGCCATCCCTCCTTTTATCTGGCCCCAAGCTGAACATAGCTCCTTCTAGTACAGTGGCCAGTTACCATGGTTACAGATGGCAGAGGAGTAGAGAAGGACCCTCTACTGAAGGAAGAGGAAAAGGTACCACAATAAACAACACCCAAGTCATTTAAAACTTCCTCTAAGAAAGAAGGCTAAGAAGGAAAGCAAAGACAACACAGTGTTTTAGCAGCATTATCAATAAGGCTAAGATAGACCAGGACAGCAATAAAGGCTTTCATAGTGAGGGATATTGTGATGATGGTTTGCTTTTAATTTTAAAGGAGCCGAAAGCAAAAACTACTGAACCAAGTCTTCAAGTTTCCTAGTCTGATCCAATCTTTTCATTTTTTCTTTTTGAGACAGAGTTTTATTCTGTCATCTTGGGTAGAATACAGGGGCATCATTGTACCTCCCTGTAACCTCAAACTCCTGGCCTCAAGTGATCCTCCCACCTCAGCCTTGCAAAATAGGT